TGGAATAGAGAAGAAAGGATATGCTGGCTATACATTTTATGAATGGGGTGGTTTAATTAAGCAAAAAATTTGTCATGCAAATCTCATGTAAAGGCAAATGAATAAACTCTCTGTAGGAAGTGGACATGAAAGGATTGCAAGCAGGCAGCAGTGTAAACTGACCTCCAAAGCCTGGAGCGCCACATGTCCAGGTGCTTTTCAAAGATGTTTTAGGTTGACATGTCCTGAATAAGATAGGTCCAGCTATGGGATTGGGTTATAACATCAGCTCTGTTCACACTTGCCTTGCATTCGAAAACTTTATGACGTCTAAATATGTTGACTCCTCTTATTTAGCACAGACTTAATGCCTTATGGTTTTCAATAGATGATACAGTGCAACCTCTGTATAAAGACCATTCAAGGATGACATCAAAAGCGGTCTTTATGTGCAGGTTAATATTAATTCTAGGAAATAAGTTGTGCAACAACAAGTGAGATTAAACGCAGGTGCATGTAACACATGTTTGACATGTCTTGTATGTGAACTGACCTTTAGAGGTTGGTCACCTGCTTAGCATCATTTAGCCTTGCTTCTAGGATCTTTTATTATCATTAAGATAAGTTTAAGGAAGTCTGAATACAAAGACTATGCTTGGCCATCTCCTTCCTGTAGGAAAGAAGATTTTTAAGGGTGAATAGTCTATACATTTCAGACATTCTCTTAGAGGACAAGCATATATAATGTGGGAATAGTCTTTGTTTTTCAAATTCTCTTGACTTAATTTTCATAGAGAGAGAGGAAACATCATTCTGTCTGGATGCAAGGCTATACACTAATCAGTGTATCTGATGGTAGGGGTATACAACACTCAGAATGAATTGCATTACTCCAAACAATTGGACAGAGAGCAATTTGGCAAATGACATTGCTCTGTCCTGCCATCAATTTTGTGCACAGATAACAAGGTATCTCCTTGTTTCGCCGAGATCGAAGCTGAGCCTACAGTTGATAACATACCTTAAAGGTACAATCCTCAGTATGCCCAGTTTTCATTTCGTCTGAAGGTTGTTGACTCCTGTCATTGAACACAGACTTAAAGGCATCGTTTAACAATGTTAAATCTGAGATGCATGGTCCTACGTGTTATCAGTGACTGTGATATGGTGTAATATTGCAGCCCTAAAAAAATTGCGCTTCAAAATGGTCATGAAGTGCCTCAAAAAAGTAAAAATCTTTGACTGACCGTTTTTACCATACTCTAAAACTGTAGGAGCATCATATCCATATCAAATGTATTCCGATATTCAAAGTTTCTTAGAAAATGAAACTAATTTAATATTCCATAGGTGGTTTGAATTTGCAAGAGCTGAATATGTTGTTGTACCCAATGTGGGGGAGGACAGGAAGCAATGGTTGAGAAGTTGTTGTGCCGGGGAGGATATAACTTTCCATGAAATCTGTCATTTATCTTGATACATGGTCTGCTATTTTTGCGACCTGCCCACGTGATTCAAAGAAACAGTTCACAGTAGAATTAGAGCCATACGTGTATGTATCAGCCCTCATCACTGTGTGTACACATCATCAGACTCCCAATGGGATATGCCTTCAGAGAGAAAGGGGAGTGAGAGAGAGAAAGAGGGAGGGGAGGAGAAGGGGAGGGAGGGAGGGAGGGATAGCTGGAAGGGGGGAGATAAAGAGAGCAAGTGGGAGGAAGATGAGAAAGAGATAAAGGGAGAAAGGGCAGAAGGAGTTTGAAGAGAAATAGAATTAGAGAAAGAAAATTAGGAGGGATTGATAGAGGGGTAGAAAATCATGAAAATTAACAGTGAATTACAGAGCAAATGGGATAGAACTTCGCAAGAAACGTCACAGAGTTGCAAATTTGTGTTTGATTGATCGCAATGTTAAAGTTCATAACTTTATTATTTTTTGATCGGATTGTGCTCAAACTTTCACGGAACTGTTCCTCCCATTTTTCTGCCCACATTAAAACCAACTTCATATCAGGATGGACCTCTCCTTTAAAGGCACCTTGTCTTTATGTACATGTTACTCTGGTACATATTCTAATGAGCTCTATTCAGGGGACACCAAACTCTGTGGTCTTTCTATACATTTAGTTGCTAAAGTGAATATCACGGTAATAAGATGAATAAATGTAATGAATCACCTATACAAACGTACCCACTGCGCTTAGATAAGAACTCTTTTTCCTACTTGAGCTTGAAGGGCAAAAGATATCAATATAGAAGAAAAAAAGACCCCCAAACTATGTTTTGAGAGCAGTTTCCTTTGTGTGATGCATCAGAGAGGAGGGGGGGGGGGCAAGAAGAAAGAAAATCTCTTTCTAAGTAGAAGTGATAATAGATTTTATTGATCAATATGCCTGAATCCATCTCATCAAAATAGTGGCATGACGGATAAGTTTCTCTATATCTCCCTGGAGCGCCATGGTGTTTGATATTCCATAGTCACTGGCATAGATCAGACGGGAGGCCCGCTTCCCCCTCGTCATTTCTCTCTCTCTCTCTCTCTCTGCAAATGTGCTGATCTTCTTTCTTCCTCCGATGTGTGGAAAGAGAGCGATGAGGCATGTTAATAACTCTTTAGGGGTTTCCTTGATCATCGCATCTCATTTAGGAGTGATAATGGAAATGGGTGGATGGCACACCATTGATCATGGGGCTGAAGGTTGGATTAAGAGGGGAGTGTTCCATCAAACCAGATTAGTTTTTGTTAAGCTTCATGCCCACATTATGCAGTATAAGCCGCCTAAAGAGAAATTGCAGCGGCAAAATAAATAACATAAGCGTAGTGCACCATTTCTTTTAGCACTCGGAATATAAATAGTTTTATCGACCAGAATTTGAGGGAAACCGTTTAAAGAATCTTCCTATAAGGAATTATATGCCTGTGATGATGGTGATGATGATGAGGATGATGGTGATGGAAATGGTTATGATGATGATGATGGTGGTGTTGATAATGGTGATGACAAAGATGGTGATAATGGTAATGATGATTATGAGAATGATTGATTTGCATGATGATAATGGTAATAATGAAATTAGTGAATGAAGATAATGATAATGATAAAACAACATGATTTAAGGTAAAAAAACAATTTGAATTGGTAAATTTATGACAGACTGCCCCCCCCCCCCCTCCCCAAAATCCTTTGGATTAAATGTGCCATGTAACATGTTTCAATTTATTTTGATATTAATTGTCAAAATGTTAAAGCAACTTGCAGTAGAAAATGTCACAGCCATAAATACAAAATAGTTGTGTAATCTTTTGAAGTATTGAGTGCTATCTTTGTAAGATGTGAACACAGTCAGTGAAATACAGTATCACAGCCATTATACAAAGTAGTTGTGTTCACATCCATGATAGAACTGTGTGTAATCTCTAGAAGTATTGAGTGCTATCTTAGTAAGATGTGAACACAGTCAGTCAAACACAGTTCCCACATATATGTCAAATCAAACTTGGGATCAGGAATGTACCCTCCATAGTCATGTATATGTACATGTTCATCTGAACCATTTTCGCCCAAGAAAACTAAATACTAAATCCTGACGCTAATATTAATTCTAATGCTAAATCTCTATCCTAATAAAACCCCTAACATTATTGGGACAAATAAACAGTGAAATATAGGTCTATAGACGTTAAAGCCCCCCTAGAACTTATAAAACTGACTGAACGACTGCAGAATACCCCATCACACAAATATCCATAACTCTGACCTTGACCCTAATCTTAAAGCCCACTGCACTACTTACAGCTACTCGCGCCCTTTATATAACAAACAATGCATAATCGGTGACCACTTTTTCTAATGTTAATTGAGAGCTGATTTGATGAGAAAACCACCTGTCCAGTGACATTGCAGGGTGGTCTAATCCCTTCTGTACACTAGTACAGATGGGCTTTAACCCTAATAGAATCAGCAGTTATTTGTGTTATCACATATATGTACAATTCAACAAAAAAAACATTAGTGCAGGCAACTGATGGCATAGTCATCATACCTCTTCATTAAACAAAAAACAAGGTTTTTTTAAAAATATGTTGTAGATCAATGTTTTAGATCAATATGTACTTCATGGGCATTGTCATTATCTTGTTGGATTTATGGCTTTGTTTCATTTGAGAAGTTTGTTGAGAGGAAAGAGAGAAGCCAGAAGAGATTATAGAGAGCAGTAACCGTCTTAAAGCTTTTTTATAGGTCATATGAAAACATATCACCATCAACCATTACAATCCCATAATCATCTCTTACTCCATAATCGGTTGATTAATTGACTTGCTAATTTGTTTAGCAGTCAGTGAATGATTGATCTGATAATAAGCTAAGTGGTTAATTTGATCTAGGGTGACAGTGAAACATATTTTCCTATATATGGGACCATTAATCTAATTTACCCATTACTAACAGGTGTTACCATCAAAGTATTAATGTTATCCAATTAATAAGGTATTATCTCTTATTTTATGGTTATTATTATTTTGTTGTTGGTTATTGAATCATCATTAAAGTTTTTATATTGTTGCTATGAGCCCCAAAAGTTATCAAATGTATACATGGAACATTTGGCGATGATAATAGCATGTTTGATTGATGTTTTGATGGCCGTTACTATAACTATGGAAAGCGTAACAATAGAATTAATGTCTTTATCATAATTGAAAGAGGTGAATGTACTGCTTACATAAAGCCAGTGTTTGGTTATTTTGTTCATTCTTTTTATATCATTTTATTATTTATAAGTGAAGTCTTTTATAACTCATATATGGAAAATAGATTAGCATATTTTATTGGGCAAAAAACGGTAACGATTACGTTGAAAACATTCACGTAAAAGTGCAAGGCCCTTCTTAATCATTACTGGATCAAATCTTTATTTTTGATAAATTAGTCATTATTTAATTACCCTTTCCCTTCCTTGGTATGGATGAAGTCAAATGTATAATAATAGTTATAATGGTTATCATAATAATGATAATAATCATGTATTTTTTCTTCTATTCCATTCCAGCATGTGACATGAACGTACACAAACGATGTCAGAAGTCAGTGCCAAATTTATGTGGGGCGGATCACACAGAGAGACGAGGTCGTATCAGGCTCAAAGCAGAGGTCACCGAAAACAAACTAAAAGTCACAGGTCAGGAAAATGTTCATCATGACATACCAACTATCTGCTTTAACACCATAAGGGCTATTTGGCCAATTCAATATTCATGCCTTTTGGCATCATGCCAAGTACCTGTTGCTGTCCTGGGTGGAGAGTGGCACAACGATATAATGTGCGTGCTTTAGGGCAGAGCAATCTATACAGAGAGTTTGGCCAACCTGGTTTGAGATGGACACAATATGGCGACTACTGCTTTGTTGGGCAAACGCAAAACAAACGAATATGCGCCATGTTGTGACCCAGTGAAACCAAGTTGGCCAAACTCTGTGTATAGATGGCTCTGCCTTGGGGCATTCTTACCACATGTTGGATTCAACAGGCCTAAAAATCTGATTTAAATCGGTTTCCCGAATTTTTTTTTTTTCCCCCGATTTTTTTCCCGATTTAAAAAAAAAAAGAAGATTTCCCCATATTTTCTCTAATCTTCCCTATTTTGCCCTATTTTTTCCCAATTTTCTTACTCAAAAGGGGGGAATGTTGTTAGATGCCATTTTCCCCCGCAAATCTTCTTCTCTTTTTTTTACTCAAGGGGGGTGATAGTGAGCACTAAATAAAAAACCTATTTTTTATTTAGTGCTCACTATCACCCCTGATTCAAACTATTTTGACAGTTGAGAAAAGTCCAAAGTCCAAACACCTCTACATAAATAAAGACATGTAAATCCTTTCTTTTATCCCAGTTAAGACTCAAATATCAGTACTCATCTATGAGCATCTTCCTTATCGCACTTTGCCGTCTCCCAGAACAGTTATCTCTTCATCATGCCCATCTCTTTCATCCGTTTCTGAAGATCTTGATCATGTCAGCCTGTTGTATGTATCGCTGGCCAAGTTCATTCAACTCTGCCAAGAGTTTATTTTTGGCAGGAATTAATATGTGTGTATGAGACTCATGCCAACCACCGCCGGAACCAGAGCATGCAATTTCGGATGTTGAACATGTAGGGGTGGGTGAGTCAGTGAGAGAGGAAGAGAGAGAGGGGGACAGAGGTGGGAGGAGAGTAGAGAGGGGAAGGGAAAGAGGGAGGAAGGTGGAGTGGGTGAGAGAGAGAGAGAGAGAGAGAGAGAGAGAAATAAGATACATACGGTGGGAAATATATAATCTATAACATATTCAAGATATGAGGGAGGGAGGGAGAAAAAAAGAAAATAAAGAGGAGAGGAGAAGAGAAAAGGGAGAGGGAAAGAGAGAGAAAAAGAGAAACAGAGAATGAGGAAGAGAGATAGAGAGAGGGGGGAGGGGATCCTGAGGTTAAAATTCTAGTGGTTATACAGACAGGATGCTGTTCAATACCTATGGGAGTACATGAGCTTGAGCTAGGATTGCACTTGAATTAAAGCCATTTTCTCCAATGTCAAACAATGTTATTTATGTCAGTGAGGAGGTGGATTCACAAAGGTAAGAGAAAAACACAAGCTGTAGGCAGAGAGACTCCTGGGGATAAAAATTTGTAGTAGGTCCATGGTGAGAGAAAGAGAGAGAGTAGAGTGAGAGTGAGAGAGAGAGATGTGTTATTGCCTGATTGTCTCTTTCAGCCTTTCAATACTCCATTAATATGCAAATAGTTTAAAATGACGGAGAATGCAGTAGAAATTTTTAGCAGGAAACAATCGATTACACTATGACGGTGTTAGATGGGGTATACAGTAACTCCTATTCAGCTTTAATGTAAGACCTCATCCATTATGAAGATCTATGGATTATTTTATCCGGTTCTGGGGACCTGGGGAAATCATTAATATATTATAAATTATTAATGGAAAGCAGTCCAGACCAATACTTGATGAAACATCCTGAAGGGTGGTACGTGCAATAGACAATGTTTGAAGAATATGGCTTATCATAAAGATCATTATCAGTACATTATCTGTACATAAAAGCAAATTGCCAAGTGGCAGGTTTATAATCCTCATTTATCAATTACAATAAACTTTGTTGTATTCCCGCCAAATGATACCTGCTAGTAATGATATTGATATCAACAATAATCCCATAGATCATTGATCATCATTACGCAGCTTTTGTCCCATTCGAAGCTTATCACTTTGCCAGCTTGCTTAGGCATCGATCATAAGCCTATCATGTGTCTCGCTGCACTTTTCATTTTCAATTTGGTTAATTCTGCGGTTGCTCCTTCATAGTCAGGATTAAAACATGGAAGGGAGGTCAAGTGGAAGATACGAACTGACACAGTTTGGATCGCCACGACAACAATTCAATTCCATTGAAACGAATGATGAAAGGATTTCCATAATCACATAGTGACACAATATTTGTATCATTGACATTTACCCCAAGCTTTATTTCATCATAGAAATCATGCTAATGGTTAAGGTTATAGTTGTAATAGGATTTTAGGTAGGGTTTATGGTTAGGAAAATACCTTTCTTCCTCCCATCAGATAATAATTCTGCCTACAGTAGTCTAGACTATGGCTTTAAAAAATACCATTAGTTTTCTTAGGTAAACATACAGGGCTGCGGTATCCTTTTATCTCAATGAACTTTGTTAACACACAGGAAATATGCATATTTCAGCCCCAGGATAATATTCAGTAATGTATTTTAGAGCACTTAAGTGCTATACAAATGTATTCAGAAAAGAGTAATTACTTAATTGAAGATGATGTCATGACATAGAAACAAATAGCTTAAAAATCTATTATAAATGATTAATGGCTGGAAACAGATGTAAATAATGTGTTAATGATAGATTTTGTTTGTTTTTAAATGAAGAGAATTAATACAATGCTCTATGTTTTGAGTGATGATCTTAAATCCTATTAAAACAGTTTTTAAAAATTATTACCTTAATTGAAGGAAAAGAATAACAATCAAATCAGTACAAAGTTAAAACAGGTATTTGATGAGAATCGTTAACAAGACATCTGTGCTTCTCTACCTTAAATGATGACATAACGAGGCACATTTTTATATTGCAATAAATTATTACATGACAATCAGGGTGGTGATAAAATGTAATAACCTCCCAATATAACATGTGACATTTATTGCAACATTTGTTGCATGTACATCAAACAGTTATGTGTTTATATTGATTTGATGTTGCAGTCTCTAGTTTCCTTTAAGGAATCTGATACTTTGTAGATGAAGATAGACTGGCTTGAATAAATGCAGATTGGTGACATTGTCTTCATTCATCAGAATATAAGACCCCGTTCTCACTCACTTTGAAAGTGGTCTTAGTTAGACCGCTCCAGACCGCTCCAGACCGCTCCAGAGGAACGGGTCTTGAGGAACGGTTTGCGAGCGTTCACACTCCGAGCAGTTTTTATGGCTCAAACCGCTCCACGAGTCAAAGTGGTCTTGTTGCTTTGGCAGCTCAGGTAGGCGGGTCAATTTTTTCGCTCGCGGAATACAAACCGTATGTACCGTACTATATGTTTCGCACCGAAGGTCACTAGCTCACTTCCGTTCAAAGTACGCTTTCCGTTCACATTGCACGTTAGAGCGCTCTGGAGCGCTCTTAATAAGACCCGATCCTCAAGACCACCTCGGAAGGTGGACTTTTGGAGCGGTCCAGAAGTCCGCTTCCTGGACCACTCCAGAAGTCCGCTTCCTGGACCACTTTGAGCGTTCTCACTCACCTATGAACCGCTCCTGAGGAGCGGGTCTTAGTTAGAGCGCTCCAGAGCGCTCCAACGAAGTGAGTGAGAACGGGGTCTAGGATGGACATGGAGGTATAAATAGGACATATTTTGTTAACAGATGGTTTAAAGTGCTATGTTTTGCACTAGTCATGTTCATATCTACACATGTATTTTCAGAATGATGATGATTATCATCTTTAATTTCTACCTATTTCTTTCTATTGTTCATACCTCTATGTGTTCACATTATATTCTGTACATAAAGCTTTCCCTCTAGGCTGCAAATCAATTGGAAAATAAATTACTACTGATAAATCTTGGATCCACTGTTATACCTTTATTAAACCCTAACCATCCATCTCGATTGAGTAACTAACCCTATTCCTGTATCTGCAAATCTTGCTTGTGCATGGGATCACCTTCAGTTCTCATAATTTTGAAGTAATAATCTGTGATTATTCTCTTCTTACTGAAACACAACCCCACACCACCCTAGAAATAAAAACTTGCATATCAAGTTGACAGGGCTTCCCTCAGTCATGGTGCGAAAAAAGTTGGTGATACTGTAAATCCTGGGTAAAAATGCAAGATTGCTTTCCAGGGAAATCCAACCTCGGTGAGTTAAGCGCCTCCTATAAACTTACCGTATCGCTTTTTGAAACGAGGAGCTTGCATGGCCGTCTATGCGGCTGTGATGATGGAGAGCGAGGGATGGGGGAAAGTGGTGTTTTTTTCCCCCGGTTGTCACAACCTGTAATGGATTCCAAATTGGAAATGGACTTCTAATGACAGTAGTGTAGAGCTCACCTCACAGTCATTGCTGTAAAGTGATGCGTCCTGTGTCTATCCCTGCCAACATGTAACCTTTGACCTTGTTGGTAGGGATATTTAGCTACATGGAACAGTAATAGTCTTGCAGTTTATAGTTGCAGATTTATTTTGTCCATTCATAAAGCAATATTTTGTACATACTGAAACCACCTAACTTATCCCCTCTCTCTCTCTCTCTCTCTGCATCTCTGCGTCTCTGTTTGTCTGTCCGTCTCTATTTAGGAGAGTAGAGATGTGTACCGGTAATACAGTATTTTAGGGGAGCCCAACAATAGAATTAAATATGTTCTGTAGAACTATGATTTATGTTAAGAAAATTATTGTGGAACATAAATTGATTATAATTGGTCCTTCCAAATATACCTCAAGCATTGTCTCTTGTGGTTTATATATTATGGACCTATTATGGGCGATAACAAAATCAATTTCTGGTTTTACCCAAAATAAAAGAAGAAAAAAAAGAGCAAATTGTATATGTTCCATTTCTATTTTTCTAATTAAGGAGAAATCACCTTTTTTCCAGATTAT